GATGGTATTCCGTATGTCAGCTGGAGGCTTTTGAAGTCGGGTACAGCGGACAAAAGGCGGACGAACATCGAAATTGGAGGAAAATGGATGAAGGTGGATGCAGCGGAAGCAGCTCAAATGCAGGCCCTCTTCAATGACATCAACTTGGAGTTGCCGACCGTTTCCGGATATGCCGAGCAAGCCGATGATCGCCGACGGTTCGGTGGATGAAGGCGGATCAGGAACAGGAGCAGGACCACCAGCAGAGGGGAAAGAGAAGCCGGAGAAGCCGATGTCGGAGGCCGTTTGGAAAAGTGCGAAGGATATGGTGGATAGAGGACTCAAGACCTTGAGGCAATTGCAGGGCAAGAACGAGAACCTGCTCAGTCAGGTAAATTCCGGGGATGATGCTTTCCGACAGTTGAGGCTTGGACTTGAAAATAGGATGTTATATAGTTCTTGTTCTCTATTATGTATGTTTGTTATATATATATATATATATATATATACACATATAGACTGCTGTATATACCAAAGCAGACCTGTTTCATCAGCAAGCCCCACATGCTGTAAGGAAAGAAATCAACGGCCGGATTGAAACCTCAACGCAGCAGATGGAGAATTTGAAGAAGTTCCAGGACAGGCCCCCAAACCTCCCAAAGCCGCCCAAAACTAAACCCGGTATAGCAGCCCCACACACACCCCATGCCACACAGGAGCTGCCGGAGAAGTATCCTGGTGCCGTGACCTTCCAGAAGGTGAATACTTTTTTGAAGGATCAAGGAGACCTCGTGACGGGCATCAACGAGGACATTGCAGGAGTCAGGGGCAAGCTCAATGCAAGAGCGGCGGAGCTGAACAGCAAAAAGAGCTGAGAGAGGAACAGGAAACAGAGAAGTGTGGGCTTGCCGCATCGCACAGAGGTGAAAAAGAGTGGCAATCGTTGTTTGGTTTGGTTGCTTGCTTGCTTTCTTGTGTGTCGCTGGGCTGGATGGCCCGGTGTCTGTGCTTTTCTGCTGCCACACAGGACGAGGGCCGGATGGCCCATGTACCAAAATAGTACCAGGAGAAAGAGGGCTGGGTGGCCCCTCGTTTGCCCGGTGTCTGTGCCTTTTTCTGCTGCCACACAGGACGAGGGCCGGATGGCCCATGTACCAGGAGAATGAGGGCTGGATGGCCCATCGTTTTGTGTGTAGTCTGTACATATGTTTTTTTAAAGGACCATGTGGGGCCGTGTTTGCATATCGGAGGAGGGCTCATGGCCCGGGCCGGATGGCCCTTTTTGCCGAGTGAGTCCGAGTGTGCAACTTCGCAGTTTGTGTGCATGTGAGCAGCTACCAAGCATCAAAAAAGGAAACAAACGTGCCCCTCGTCCCCTTGTGTGTATACAAGGCAGCTATGTATTCTCAGCAGCAGGAGATGGAAAGCTACTTGCATCCCGCATGGGAGCGGTTGCTTGGGCCGGAGACGGATGTGAGCTTCGGGGAGTTCTTGTGTGTTTTGGTCCAGACAGCTGAGCTTGTGTTCGATGAACCCCCCAACCGTTTCGAGAAGACTGCTGTGTACTTGGATGCTTGGCTACATATATTGATATACATATTGTGTGTGTGTGTGTGGGTGTGGGTGGGTGGGAGGGTGGGTGGGTGGGGAATTGTGTCAAATCAAGGAGCGAATGTATGCGAAACAGTTCAACAACACCGTACATGGACAGTATCTGGACCGCGAGATCTTTGTGCAAACTGTGAGCGAGATGAGTTTCCGC